CTGACCTACTTCAGCTATGGGGCCGATGGCTGCGACCAGCCACGGCACATACTGATGCGACAGCTCATTACGCTGCTCATTACGGGGCATTTCGCAGGCGCGATGCCTTCCTCGGCCACATGCAACACGCTCTCCGACATCAACAAAACGAGATGGCGTTTTCAGTTTCCGCGATTTCAACCTATTTTCAATCGAAATATCGTGCCGCATTTTGGGAAAACCGACGCTCGGCAGTTTGAGTTTGGTGTGAGCGCCCAAGCAACGACGCGGCCCAACAAACGGGTCGCACATCGGGTCAAGATCCATAGCCAACTGTGGCAGCCAGAATTGGGGTTCTTGGAGCTTTCGAACCCCGCGATGTCATGTTGAGTAATTGAGCCATTGTGGCACCACCTCAAAAAATGAAAAATGGATTTACGCGTGATTACGCCACGTTCAGCGTCTGAAACGACATGTACACCGTTCAGTGAGTGTGTAGAGAGGCCTACATATCTGCTACGTGGGTTGGCGAGTCTGTGGGTTGCGATTCATCATTGTGGTGAAACGCACACTATATAAGACCAAGTCTTGTGATTGGCTTAAAAGAATTTAAATCGAGCCAATAGAAACACCCATTTCAGTTGAGTTTCAAATCGACTCCGACATGGCCCGCAATGCTACCGGGTAGCATGACAGCACCGCCGTTCGGGAGATTACTTCAGTGTCCATGAGCAATGGTCACGACCGAGAAGTATGGACCCGCTCATTGCCGAGCTCACGGACAAGGCTTGCGTCGACGACGGGCGGCGTCCAGGAGGCCAGCCTTGACGCGCTAGTTGACCTCCTGCGTGTGCGCGCGGGCAACGGCCTCGCCCTCGCGGTCTCGCTCAGCAGCGAAGAACATGGTGTCGCGATGGTCGAGGAGCTCGTGCAGCCGCCGACGGAGCTCTGGACGCTTCGCAACTCGGCGGCGCTGGTAGCATCGGGCTTGCTCAGTCTCTCGTCGGTGCCGACGTGGACTGCCACCACGCTTGCGGCGCCTGTCGTCCCGACGCTCGTGGTGCTCGCTTGCGATGAGAACTCGCTCGTCAAGTTGGCCTCGCGGTCAAGGTCGA